TTTCCATCCATTCGGGTTCTACTTCCTATATGGAGTGTATCGTGAAGGTCCATTGTCCGGCAAGCTGGTGCGGACCCTGTGCCGATTTGTGCATAACATGGCTTCAAAGTCTAAGGACTGCAAGGTTATTGTTACAGAAGTTGGAGGTAGCGACACATTGAGACTTCACATCCCACATTGGAAATTACTGTCCTGTCCAGAAGATTTGTGGTGCATAAAGGGCTTGAAAAACGAAGAGAAGAACAGCCTCCATGAATTGACAAAAGCCCCACCAACAAGAGCTCTTTTTGTAGACCCGAGAGAGGTATGAACAAAAGAAATCCTGACCCCCCACCTCTCCCTTTCGTCTGGCCTGATGAGCTAAACCCTACCTCACGTATTCTTTGACAAGTCCATCCATCTCTCCTGGTGGGGGCTTTTCTCTTGTTCCTTTCACATCGGTGACACAAAATCTAAAAAGATTTCCTTAATTAGGTGCCACCCTCGGTGTCCTTGCTTAAACTCATTTTTTGCACCTCATGATTCCGACTAATCAAGCAGACTCTGCGTGGTCCAATCTTTGTCCCTTTCCCCTTCCGTAAATATTTTATCTGGACCCCCTACTTCCCCTTTGTCGCGTCGCATACTGTTGCCCTCCCTAACATGCCATTGTTAAAGATTGAAAAGGGGATTCCCCATTATCATGAAAGCAAAAAATTCTATCAAAACTACATATCAGAGCTGGCTTCTCTCTGCGAAAGTTTGGCCCCTTCGATGTTTTTAGCAAAGCATTTCCGACTCTTAACATTTCGGCGCGTTTCTCTCTTTGCTATGTACTGAAGCATTTTTCGAGTTGGGAAGGTGTCAATCTCATCACCATCTTGAATACGGAACCCTCCATTTCCAGTAACCCTAGTTTATGCAGAAGAAAACAAAGTTTGATTAGGGTTTTAGGTCACTTGTCAAGTCGATGAAACCATGTTTAGATAAAGCAGCATGAGTTAGGCATCTATTCCCTCCTGCCAAATGTGGAATTAAGCCCTCTCGTCGTTGGCCATTGTTGATTCCTTTCCGGTCCTTCAAAATCAAACCCCATGTGTGCCCTTAAGGACTTGCTATAATCGGTGGTTAACACAGTCTGCCAAATCATGAGAAGCCTAAACCATTGGCTGACCTTGCAAAAGGACGTCCATGCAATAAACATAAGTAAAGCTTGCTTCATAATATATTTACCTCTATAATTTAAAGAATAAAGTTCATAATTTCCTTCTTTCCCCAGGAATATAAATTTGATTATGAAGCATGATTTTCAGCAGGGTTTCAATGGCGGAAAATTATTTCATGCTTGTAGTATCGATAAAATATTATTTTTATTCAAATTCAACTCGAAATTTACGTTATTTTCTTTAAATATAACTAAAAAATAAATAAATATTGTAATTCAACATAAAAATATGTTGATTGGGTTGATCTTTTTCCAAGATAGTACACCAATTTTCTTCTCTGGTGCGAGAGTACACGTTTGATTACATTGCACACACAAAAAAATGTGTGACCAGAAAACATTTCCTCGTTGGACACTTAACTTTAAAAAATCTCCCTCCAGATAGTGACCAAGATTATTAGAGTTGATGAATTTGATGTTGGACCACAAACGACAAGTAGTCACAGAGATTGAAAATCAATTTAAAAAAAATGGGTGATGCTGAGCTTCTAGTATTGCCATTTTCCCCTCTAGTAACCTTTGACAAAAATGCTTGGTGTGCAACTTTCCCAAGGCATATTCAAACATTGGATTAGACTGGCTGCACTATAAATTATTTTCCTAGGTATTAGCCTCATCTGCTGATGTTCATCGTTGAACTTAAGGCCTCCAAGGGCTTTCAGTCACGTCAGCACCTGAGGTGGATATCAGACGAAATATATGTATATATAATTACTTCCAATGGCCTATGACCTTGCAAAACCAAGGTTGTGAGCCAAGAGGTATATACTTAAAAGGGTAAATCTCTATATGGTCTTACTGATGGTAGAAAATCGACATTGCAGATGAATTTCTCGTCGGACAAGGTCCAGTGTAAGCTTAGATCGAAGCTTGCTAAAGAAACTATAAGATTGGTATGATCACTGTCATGATTCCACCAGTTCAGAAGTTTCTGATGATCATATCGAAGTTTAGATGACATTAAGGAAGGAAGGAAACATTATTATTAAAGTTTCCCAGCAGGAAAGTGAGAAGAGCACAGATGTTTTGAATGATAATGTCGTTGCACTAGCGCCATGCATGATCGATGATCAGGTAAAAGATCTCAAAAAAAAAAAAAACAAAACAGTGAAATGAAGGAGATGAGGGCACTGTTTTCTTCTCATCTCTTTTGCCCGATGTTTCCTCAATTTGTCTCATCATTTGGTTCACCAAATTGGCTCGTGCATGAATAAACCCCTGCTTGTTTAAAGGAAAAAAATCGTGCAATTATTAGCAGAGGAAAGTTTGCTTTGGAATTTGCATATGCACATCATCATCCCCTTGGGTTTCCTGTTTGCCACATAGGGGAAAATGATAGGGGTTGGCCCAGACCTTTCTCTTTGTTGGTCAGGGCCCCAGATCTATTTTGACTTCATATGGGGTTCTGATTGGAACAAGCTTTGGGCTTTTGTGAATGATCTCCTTTTAAAGATGATCATGGAGGTGACCCAGTACTTTAGATTTGTCACTATCTGGGCCAGCCTTGTATCCTCCAGAACTTTGTTTGGTTCTTAGTGGGTTCATTGCCCTGTAGGGATAGTTTGCGTGTTTCTGCTTGCTTTCGGTTTTCTTTCTGTGCCTTTGTGCTGTTTCTTTTCGTACCAAAACTGCTTGAATGTAAAAGCTTCACAAGTCTTCTTGAGGCTGAAGGTGTCTGCTAGCTTCGTTAATTAGTAAAAGGGAAAGGCTAATTAAATAAGAAACATCTACATTAACTTCCTACAGTTAGAGCATCTTCTATTCCACTCTTCCTTCTTAACCTTAATAGGCAATGCCTAAATGATGTATTGCAAACTCAATCAATTCAAAATTCATAAGTGCTAATGTCACAAGATTATTGCTTTTTTCTCAAAAGACTAATCTATTTGTAGTGTGTGATATTTACATTTATAAATTCATCTTTACATATCTGATATGAAATTTTATAATATTTTTTCTCATTTGAATTTACAGTACTTTTGTTACGATCAAATAAGTATTAATGTTACAAAATCATTATTTTTTTTTAAAAAAAAAATTAACTTATTGCAGTATACAGTGTCCATGTTTATAAATTCAAAATCTCTCTTTTACTTATCCGATATGAAATTTCGTAACATTTTCTCCAATTTGACCATATCACCTTACCTACTTCACACGTTGGAGTGCTTGGCATAACGTGGAAGTCAAGTCCAAATTGGCTCCATTACTACTTTGTGGTGGAACCATTGCCCTCTCAATAAGTTAATCTGTTGAGTTGTACAATCACGTCTGTTTATAAATCTAATACTTTTTCCTTATCTATCTTATAGAAGATTTCATAAGGAGCATATTGGGAAAGACACGACAAGATTCCTTTCGGCAATTTAGTGGCTTTCACTATTTGGGCCATCTGTTTCTCATCCTGTACCCTTATCTTTGGGCCACAAGGGCATCAAATCGAGACCCATAAAAGTTCATAAGGAGAGGGAACAGACCCAAAATCATTTTTATGAAACATCGCATTTGCACAGATAAAATTCTACATCCGAATGGATCTCTTGCATGCAAAAAGCCTATATCTCCGCTCAACAATCCATATGGCTCTGTTTGATGGCCAGCATGCAAAAGGCCTACATCTCCGCTTGGACAGCTCCCACACTTTAAGACGACAGAGTGGACTGAACATTGAATAATAATGATCTACTGAAGATTTGCATATTTGCATTGCATGTGTGCTATAGCCAATGATAAACGACTCATCCTTTTCTCAACCCAAATTTCGGCTCCAGTCTCAATAATTCACACACCCAAAAGATAATTTTTTTTTTAAAAAAAAGGGTATATCTTAATATGAAAGAGGAAACAACAATCTAGAATATTTTCGGTTTTTTGTTTGAACCTGATTTTCTTTTCAAGGCACACTCTCTAACATCAACTTGATACATTCGAGATTTTACATTTAAAATACTCTTCACAAAGATCGAATTAGGACCCAAATTAGCGACTTTGGTCTATTGATTGCCATCCCAAAGGTTAAGTCCAAATGGTTCGGTGAGCCCAATTTGAAGTACAGCCAGCCCATTGAAACATCCAAAGGAACTAAGGAAGCAAGCAGCAGAAAAGATTGAGCTACATGGAGGCCTATATTGTCCTATAATTAGCCCAAAATATTATGAATTGGAGGTCTACTTTTTGTTCTTTTCTTTCCTACTGACAGTATGGGCTCGCTCTTGCCTTAGTTATACACATAAATCAATAAAAAAATTATGAAAAATAATTCTTTTTTGATAAAACATTTCAAAAATAATTATTAAAATAAATTTAATTATTTTTATTTATATTTAATCCTAACTTGATAAAAATTCTTTTAAAATTATTTCAAAACCATTTATTACAAATTTTTTTCATTTGTGCTTTCAATTTATTTTTCTTGCCATCCTGCTCTCTCTACTCTTTTTAATTTTATCTATTTTTTTCTTCGACATTTATTTGTTATGCACTCGATTTCATTCTTCCATGCTTTCATATTTCTCTTTCCTGTGCTTTCAAAATATCAAGCAGTAGTTTTGATGTGCTTAGGTGGGTGACTATTTGAAAATTTTGATTTTTAAGTATTTTGAATAAAACTAAAATGGTAGAAATGATCACAAAGGTTTGAAATAATTTTTAATTAGATTAATTCAAGACCTAGATACCAATAAACTTAAGAATTTGAAATTTATAAATCTAAGTTTTTAAGGGAATTTTTTTTAATTTTTAGTCGAATAAGTGTTTTTGATAAAAAAAATTTATGTCTTGATTTATGAAAATATGTTAAAAACACTTTAATTGGTGTCAATTTATAAAAGAAAAATGAAAAGAGTTTAGAAGATTTGAAGTTTTTGTTTGTAAATAATAATAATATTTTAGGTATTAAAGTGTAATAAAATGTTTTTGAATATGACGTGTAACAATAATATTTTTTCAATATAACATGTAATAATAATATCTTTTTTCAACATGACGTGTAACAACCTTTTTTAATAATGACGTGTAATATATTTTTGTACATAACGTGTAACAATAGTATTTTTTTTCAACATAACATGCAACAACCTAATTATGATATGTAACATATTTTTGTACATGACATGTAATAATTTAACCATAATATTTAACATATGTTTATACATGACAGGTAACAATAGTTTTTTTTTTAACATAACAATCTAACCATGATATGTAATATATTTTTGTACAAAATATATAGTAACCTAACCATAATTTGTAATATATTTTTATACATGATGCATGAAATGTAATTTTATTAAAGATAATTTTATCAAAGAAAAGCATGGGTGATCAAAACAAGTATTATGAGTCCATGGAATGCAAAAAGAGGGGAAGACTAGTTCCTTTCTGGACAGTAGAGACTGCTTTCCAACGCAACTTTCTCCACAAAATCACATATGCAAATCACACTCATCAAAACACCCAAATTTCCGTTTCCTTTCCTTCCACCAATCGGCTAATAAGAAGACTCCAACCGACGTAAAAGACTGACTAAAAACAACCAAAAGATAGGAGTGCCATTACCACACACACGACAAGCAACAAGGAAGAAATGTACATCACTTCGACCCCATCAACCCCACCCCCTTAATTAAGTCATCGAAAATTTGCTCGGCGCACTCCGCACCACACACGATCTCAACCCCCACCTGTCTCTCTCTCTCCTCTCATCTGCGTCTGCTCTGCCTTCTTTCCTTGAGGGTGGGCAGGTAGGTATGGCTTCGTGCGTGAGCGACACGGCTCGAACACTCGGCTGCAAGGAAGTGCAGCAGCGACTCACCTCAAGCTCATCCACTTTCAGTGATCTTCTTAACCAGTGTTTGGATATTCTTCCCCTGTCCTCCTGGCTCGTTACTTCCAAGCAAGCCCGTACGATAAGGGATTCTGTAATCAAGTGCTTCGCTGCTGGAGTCATCCTTTCGACCTCCTTAGTCCACGTCCTCCCCGACGCCTTCGGCGCCCTGTACGACTGCCACGTCGCGTCTCGTCATCCGTGGAAAGACTTCCCGTCGCCGGGCTGGTGACGTTGGTCGGGGCTCTGCTGGCTCTTTTCGTGGACTTAACCGCAAGCTCCCACGTGGAGCACAGCCATAACCGAGTGGGGATTATTTACCGGTCGTGACAGAGGACGGATCAGTGGGAAAAAAAGTTGGGAAATGTCGAACGAGGAATTAGTGAAGCTGAAGCAGAAGCTGGTTTCTCAGGTTTTGGAGATTGGGATCATTTTCCATTCGGTAATCATCGGATTGACGATGGGGATGTCGCAAAATCAGTGTACGATCAGACCACTGGTTGCTGCGCTCTCCTTTCACCAGGTCTTCGAAGGCATGGGCCTTGGCGGCTGCATTGCTCAGGTAAACAATTGCTGCTTTTCCAGGTTATGATGAGGTTGTTCAAAGATTGCTATCTTGATTATTGACAATCACTCTCAAGAAGACTTATCCGATTAGAATTTTACAAATTTTTCAAGAAAAATTCTTTTACTGTTCAACTCAATTATAAATATAGGACTGAGACTAGCAGGTTCCTGCCCCTACACAATATTTTGAGTTAAACTATTACGCAACAGTGTGTCGAGAAGTTTCGACGACATTGTAAGGAAAGTATCAGAATCATTTATTAGTCTAGCAGGCCGAAAATTTTGACCCTAGATTATAAAACAAGACATCAAACAAACAGGAAATCAAATGAAAACAGAAGATTTCTGACCCTATTAAACTAATGTCCTATTAACGAAGCATAGGGGTATTTCCTAATGTTTCTATTTTTATCTGTGAATGTATTGGTTAGCCGATGCGCTGACGATTGTGAAATGATTTCAGGCAGGTTTCAGTGTGGGAACAGTGGCATACATGTGCGTCATGTTTTCAGTGACGACCCCAATGGGAATATTGTTGGGAATGACAGTGTTCTCATTGACGGGATACGACGACAGCAGCCCAAATGCCCTGATAATGGAAGGCTGCTGGGTTCTCTATCGTCGGGTATTCTCATTTACATGGCTTTGGTTGATCTCATTGCCGTTGACTTCTTCCACAACAAATTGATGGGTTCACAGACGTGGTTGAAGAAGGCTTCGTTCATCGCCCTAGCCCTTGGCTCTACCTCCATGTCTATCCTTGCACTCTGGGCTTGAAATTTTGTATCTATCTATATATATCTTGAAAAACAATACAAAATTCCATTTCCATATCAACATATGACAAAATGCATGGAATTGGATTAATAGATATGCATGTCTTATAATTTACATACTTTTGCTGCTAGATTGAAAGTCAGGAAGAACATTAAGAGTACTGAACATGATAGACAAATAAAAGAGAAAGTCATTGGTAAAATCTCTAACTCAAGAGACTCTTGTGTTTCGAGAGTGCTTTGGGACATGTAAAGACCTTTGCATATTGTGCATAATCATAACCCATTTTGCAAATGCGTAAGGAGTCAATGGATTCATTAAATGCAATAATAAATAAGAAGTGGAATGTGTGGGAAAGACGTTTAATCCACTTTTTCACTTTACAACTTCTTAGATTGATTTTGTATAATTCTATTAAGATAGTAGCTAAATACCTTTAGCAGGAGTCCCCAAATCTTCACAATGAGTTCTTTAACTAAGGATAATTGAGTAAAGTTTAGCTGGCTTCAATGACTTGGCCCCATAGCTGAGTGGGTTAGAGATTTGGTCTTATCAGCCTTTAATGCCCGGGAATCATTTCTTTTTCTTTTTTTCAGAAAAAGAGGGACAGAGATGAAGAAATAATCACATTAATAAAGACTTTGATGTCAGATAGGGAAGTATTAACTATTAATTAATGCTCAAACCTCCCATATCTGGAGAGTTTCTACCAAAATAGACAGAAGAAATGTTTTTTTTTTATTTGAAAGGTGATAACATTTTATTAGAATTTAAAGAGAGAAGGAGCATAAGTTCTTCAAGCCATGGTTTAAAGGAACAAAAATAAGAAATACCCGAACAATAAAATATTACAGAATGATAGAAAATTTTCCGTTCTCATTAATCCGTCAATTATGAAATGTGTTTAATGACTCTCAATGTGATTCAAGATGTGTTTCAATCTGTCAAAGAATAAAAAATAATAATTAATCCAAAGAATTATGTTGCAAGACTCACTTTCAACAAGAGAGAATGAGAAGTCATAGAGATGAAGTGAAAAATAGGAAGCCTTTCTTAATTGCCATGAATTCAGCACAGTTAAACATGTCTATTTTATTGAATTTTTATCAAAATCAAGCAGAATGAAACAAAGAGAAGCAAAAGATGTTTGGCATGAATACAGGGCAGGGCACTTGGTAGAATTACTTGCAAATTAAATGATCATAATTGACCAGTAAAAGAAGAAAAAGCCTAGCTACAAAATCCTGATCAGTTAGCTCAATTAGCAGTAATACTAGTGACCATTCTTTGGTATCCTCCAACAGTACTAGTCCTCCTTGGAGGAACCTGTTTTCTTCTCTGTTTGTGAATTTTGGAGAATTTAAGAGAGGGTGTCTGGTATCAAGATTCCAGAAGCAAACTGATCACGAACTGTAATACAAGTATAAACAGGAAGGTTGACCAACGTGTTTGCTCTTTCCATTTTGATATTCAAAAATTTGAGCCTTATCTGATTACAAACGGTTGGCAATAACTCAAGGGAGTGTGACAATACAAAGTCAACTGAATCCAAGCTTAATTTGAGTCTCCTAACCCTGAACTGTTCAATAGAGATGTATACATTATCGCCTAAATTGTTTGATGGCAGTTGGGTACAAGCAGAAATGGTAATATAGCAAATGCTGACAGCAACCAACCATGATGTCAAGCCGCCTGCTGTGATTAACTAGAGCATAGGCCATTTCATAATTCAATCTTAACCCCCCAAAACCGCCCATCCCAACACCTTAAATTCCGCTGCTTTCAACCCGCCAAGGAGATCGAATCCCACCAAGGCTTCTCTTCCCCACGTTATGGCCTCACCAGGAGGCTCCAAAATCTTTGAATGGGATTTAACTGTGCTGAACCACACCAGCTTCCACTCATACAGCCGAGGCCTTCTCCTCTTACTGATCTTTTTCTTCCTAGTTATTTTCATCACCACCTTGTTCCTCTATGCTCATCGGATTTGTAGCCAAAGCCGCCCCTCATCTGCTGCTGCATAGAATGCAACCCCAGCTCCCTCCCCCGGGCTTGACCCTGATTTTATCAATAGTTTACCGATCGTTTGTCATCGCTCTGTGGTCACAAACGGTAAAGGAAAAAATGGTTTTATCAAAGAAACTGAATGCTCTATCTGTCTAGGCCTTTTTGAAGATGAAGAGAAGCTAAAGGTCTTGCCAGAATGTAACCATGCATACCATTCTGAGTGTGTTGACAAGTGGCTTAGCTCTCAGTCACGCTGCCCTCTTTGTAGAGCTTCTTTGAGTCCCATCACTCCTTGAACTCGAAATATAATGACATGTAATTCATCAGACCATGCATGAAAGCCAGCTAGAGATCAGCTGGTTGGTTTTTTTCAGAATCCTTTCAGCAACTGTAATATATATACAACTTTTCCCATGCATACTTCTAAAATTTCCTCTTATTAATTTGTTAATTGAAGTGTACGATCTTTCCAAAACATGTCCCCGAATTTATTTCTCTGGAGGAAAAATGAAAAACGAAGACTATATGTCAATAATTTCCTGCAATTAATTTTCATCAACCAACTGATTTTAATTCGCTATGTCCCACGGTGTATTTCAAGAGACTATCCTGTCAAAGATGAATGGTCCCTTACTCTATTTTTTTAGTCTAATAAATTAAAATAGCATTATTGGGAAGTGACTTCCAACAGCAGGTCAGAATTCAATTACCATCTTCTTCAGCTTTCATACCAAACTCAGAAGGGTCAACAAGGTTTACCCCCGTTTGATTATAAGTGAAATTGGCTTTTACTTCTTTTTTCTGCTGCAGCCCGTGGAAGTTTTGCTGCATTATATCATCTTCAATATCTGCTAAAGACTTACATATTTAGAAGGTCCTGATGAATCTCCAGCATCCGAGTTCTCTCTTTTTGTAATGAAAGTTAACTCATAGATGAGATGGCAGTTCATATCCTCACCAACTGCACTTTCTGGTCTTGAAGCTGCCTCGTTAACCCACTGCAAATCCAAGTAGGGAAGCATGTGTTCAGTCCAGGAAATTCTTGTCCTGATGTGAATGTGAATAGTTGTTAGCAACTTGAGTTTAAGGTTTTGAAAATTACATGGTTTAAACTTAGAAAATTGTTGAATTAATGATACTTTGACCCGAATCATTACAATGATTATACGGGGTTTGGTTTTGTTTTGCATAATAACAGAAACCCTGCTTCTTTCCTTGCACATGAAATGACCACAAAACAAAAAAAAGAAATAACTGTGATGCTTATGTTTGTGTCCCAATGTGACCGTGGGCACTATAATAAAAAAAAAAAAACACTCTGGTCTGCTCACTGCTACACCAAGTTAGACGCTCTGTAGCAGATGCCACAATGCCAAAATGTAACAATAATTGAATAAGCCTTACAACCTGCAGCTGACTCCATTGTCTGCATTATTAGCCAGCACTAAAATCTTTTCCAGCATTGTAGGATTTTGCAGGCGTGTCATGTAGGACTTTTTAAAAGCTTGAAAATCTTTCATGACATGTTTGCCGAAGGAAAGAAAAGATGACTCCTTTGTCATGCTAAGTTCACTTTTTTTCAACTTTCAAGCAATCTCTAAAATCGAGAGAGCAGCAGAGGACAAGGAGGTGAATTGAATTGGGGCCTGAACCTGATCCAAACAAAGGGTTTCTCGTAAATACCAGTTGCAGTTGTTTGACCCTCTTCACTCCTCAGATCACATGATTGATTGATATGGGGCAACATCATTGACCAGAAAACATGGGTCTGTACAAAGAACTTTTGTCTTCAACTCTGCCACAATTGCATTCAGACAGTCATAGACTTTTGAGCCCACATCTTGGTCATGAATTACTAATTTGTTACCAAAAGCAGCCTTTGTTCAGTCTAAATTAATGTTCACATGTTCATGGTTCATCCCAAAACTTTTTTAATGTTTTAAAAGCTCCTTTAACCAGTATAAAATCATTAAATTGCAGATAAGATTTACTGTCTGCACATAAAGACAAGAAACAATTTTACCAAACTGTTTTCTTGGTAAATTTACTCAGTCAGATAGTCATGTGAAGTGAGTAGTGAGTAGTGTCATGGAGGTCATGGGCTGCTTCTGTATTTGGATCATCATGACCAAGGAATTGATAAGTCAAAACTTATGATTGCAGCAGAAAATGATTAACGCCTAATGAAAGCCTTGTAATCAATGAAATGTAACTAAAAACCATAGGTTTTGACCCCCTGGTCCAATGAGAAACTCGGAGGAAGATGATAACAGGTTTCCCAAGAAATCTATACAAAGTTGTCTGCGAAGTGAAGAGTTTATGAACATTAACAGGCAAATCAGACTCTTTTGTCTTTACTCAAACTTCCATCTCACTGGCGTTGGATGAGGGAAAAACCTTGCGCTCTGATCTGTTCCTGCTCAGCATTCTCTTCAAAGAGCAACCAAGGGAAGATGACAGCGTCAAGGAAGAAGACGATGCTGGTAGAATATCATCATCTGCAGCCGCAGTTGGACAATTGTTTGACTCTGATAATTCAGTCAGATTGTCCGATCTAAGGCTTCCATCAATCACTCCCACCTCACGGTTCAATAAAACTCCCACACTTTCCAAAGAACTTACTTCAGAATCCGCAACCTTATCGTTACTCAACACAGGAGCTCTGCAAATGGGGCAATTTGAGTGAGACTGCAGCCACATATCGATGCACTCCACATGAAAACAATGCCCGCACTTGGGTAAATTCCTCCCAACATCATCGTCCTCGAATGGGCTCAAACAGATAACACACTCTAAACCGTGCTTGTACTCCTCCATTGTGTAAACAAACAATGGAATGGATGAAATGACAGAGGAATCGAGGCCCTTTGATGGGGAGCTCGGGAAAGTAGTGTCGAACGTGAATGCATGGAAATGGTGGAATCGATCAGGGCGGAAGACGTGAGACACAGACATGGAGGAAGATCGACTTCTTCGGCGAGCTTGAGCCAAGAACCATTTGGCGTAGACATGGAGAAGCAGAACGAAGAGGATGACAAGAAGCAAAGATATGACAGCAGCTAGCATGACATTGCCATCATAGGAGGAAATGCTGTTGAGGAGATGAGAAAATGAGTTTGTGGTGGTCTGTTCTGGAGAGTCAAGCGAAACTGACATTTTCTTTCCCTTCCCTGGATCGATGACTGCAACTGTTGCAAGGTTGAGATGAAGAGATGTGAATGTGATGGAGATGGGACAGGCTTTTTGCAGCTATGGAAGTGGGGTTATATGGTCATTAAATGTCTGAACAAGAACAATAAGAAAATCAATGGAATCTTCTATACATTAGGAAAACGTTTACGTGAAAGTCAAGTTGTTTGTTGGGGGATTAAATTATGGGAATTTCTCCCTTAAACATTTGCTTGTGTTAGTCAGCAAGGACAGCTCCCTCTCTCTCTCTCTCTGCTTTGTAACTTAATGTTGTGATAATCTTCTTATAATTTAGAATAGTTAAGTCAAAGGAAAATCCCATAATCCAAGGAGCAAATGAGACTCGTGCCCATGGGAGAGAAAAAGGATGCAGTGAAGGACTCGTGAAGGCGACGGCAGCTGAGGAAGGGAGGAATGGGTTTGTCTTGATTCATGTGATGGGTTTTAAGGGATCCCAATGCCTGAGAGAGATCTTTCTTTTCTCACCCTTTTTAGTTTAATCATTCATATTTCCTTTCACATTTCCACTTCCTCTTTTTCTGTCATTTTTCTGCTTTACACAAATGGGGAGGGGCAAAGCCAAAGAGTAGGGTCACCGAACAGAGGGTCAGGGGTCCCATGTGAATCCCACCAGACAGAGTCCGCTTTTTGACTCACACAATAGACCTCCAGATCACTGATGGAAACCATGACTTTTGCTCAGTCTTCTACACCCTTTTTTTCCTGCACGTTTCGGGCAACTTATCGAACCTTTTTGTGCTAGGAGGCTCGTGATTTCTTGACCCTAACCCCATCGGCCGTGTACCATTCCTGCCAGGGGTGTGACAGAATGGGATCCCCCTGGATTAGTCAGGCATGTAACATAGAATACTCGGGGCTTTCATGAAATTTGTTTTGAGCATAAGTAACGTATTTTATTAGAACTTATTGTTAAGACAGTGACACTGATGCTGATGTTACATTTTGACAAAGAATTGAAATATAATGAATGAAAAATCTATCTTAATATTTGGATAAAATCCATTCTCAAGATGAACCAAATTTCTTGAAGCATTCTTCCTTCAATCCATGAGTTTGTATCTTTTCTCCTGAACCCCTGTTACTCCCATTTGTATTTCTATGATAGTATGAAGTGGCACCTGCAAATCCCAACGTATATCGTTCAGGGTTTAATTTTATAACAAGAGTTATGATGCGAAGTCAGTATCTAAAAATGCAAAATTCTAACGACTCATCCTGCCATTTTTTAGCTTTTCCATTCAAGTATGGGAACATCAAGTGAAACCTAAAGGTGTCATGCATCTCAAGTCGCAAGATTCGAATTCCTGCCGTTTTTTAGCTTTTCAATTCCACTAGGGAACGCCAAGTAAAGCCTAAAGAAGAAGCATCTCACATGCAGAGACAGAGAAAGAGAAGTAATAGATCACGGTCACCCACAGTACAAATATGTCAAGACACGACAGTTTCTACTTGTCTATTAATTACCTCAATGTGAGGAATTTCTTTGAGGGGCCTATCGGCAAAATAAGCATATAATGCTCTCAATACTGCCTGCAAAAAGAAACCAATAACAAATCATTCAAGATGTATAAGCACAGCATCAGAAATAGTATAAAGCAGAAGCCTGTTGCAATTAAATATAACCTGGTGAGATATCACTACAACTGGTGCTCGTTGTCGTTCAAGCTCAATAATTACCGGTTCAAGCCTGCTTGAGTGTGGAAAGTGAATTGTATCGCACAAGTTAGACTACAAAAAATTCTTTGCAAACTATTCAAAGTTCAGTAAATTGAGAAACTCTAGACCTTTGTATAACATCCAGGTAAGATTCTCCACGAGGATAGCGATATCTCAGCTTGTCCTTCTTGCGAGATCTATAATAAAACAAGGATATATTTATTCAGGAATACAACAAAGATGAAAGTAAAGCACAATCAAGAGAAGGATTAAAATCAGTGCATGATTTTTTAATCCAAACACAAGGTTTTCCATAAAGTGCCATTTAGAAGGCCAATAATAAGAAAAGCTTATTAACACCATTAAAATACAAAAGCTTTGTGCATTCAATTTCCTCGACCCACACAGAAGAGCAAAGTAGCAGGAGGGTGGTAGGGAACGCTTACTCATACTCCTCTGGCATATTCTTCTTTATTTCTTCATATGTCATTCCATCACACACTCCAGCATTAATCTCATCGAGTGCACGCCATTGTATCTAACAAAAACGTGAATAAGATATCTCCGTTAACATACCAATATCTATGTTTACTTCAGCTGCCACAATGGGCTGGAGTGTGAACAAAGGGTCTGAATAAGTTACTTTCTTATGGTTCCAAACTAACCTTGGGAAATCCAACAATTGGACTTGCTGTCAGGATTGTTCTCTGCAGGGTGCTGGTCCAAATCTAGATTACAGCAAAATCACAAAAATTATCAATACCAATTATAATGTTTAATATTGTCCATACATTTTCTATACACACTAATTGATGAAGTGTCAATGCGTCCGCAACTTTTTTAAGTATTGAGCCCAACACAGCAAAACCCATTCAATTCAAACAATTTCATTTATTAAAACCTCGATGCCAAAATGTAGATCTTTGAGATACCCTTACTAATTGATCCACACTTTGAAAAGGATTTTCATTTCTTGAATTTTAGAACAATAATTTAGCAAGTGATACTAGCTCAAGCAGAAGAAATAACAGCCAATAGGCATATAACTCCACTGCTTAAGTCTTAAAGAAGGCTTCCAAAATTGAAGAAGGACCAGGACAAGGAAGAGGGAAGCAGGGGCAAGTTTGGTGCCATTGAATTCTGAAAGAAGTGATAGACTTAGGCATAGATGGAAACAATAAAACATTGACAATGACAACTGTTGGAACTTACAGAAGCAGCCCTTTCAGATTTCAGTCTCTTCTCAACAAAGTTCGCAAGTTTCTTTGCATAAATTTCTCCAGTGTCGCTGTTGTAACACGAAGTAAAATTTTCTTGTAAGTAAGACTGGAGTACAACAACTTCAATCGAACCAGAAAAATTCATCATATAACAGAAGACTAAAATGAAATGGTTAGAATGAAATTGAAACCACCTATGATATAATGTGATCACAATCAGCAGAAAAGGCTACCTCACTACACTGTCACCACCAATTCTGCCTCTAACGTTATCACAACTCTCTCCATGCCTGGTAAGTAATATTGGCCGAGGTGTGAGATGTGTATTAACCTGCAAATGATAATATGACATAAGAATATAAACATTTAACTCAAGGATCACCGGTGAAATGATAAATGCTTAGAAAGCATTAAAGATTAAGGGGCATTCAACTTCAAATGTGTCCCAAAATAACACAGGCACCTGTGATACGAGGAATCTTCAGATAAGATACATGTACATATAACAAAGGTCAACAGGTGTACAATCTGAATGCTACAAGTCTGAAGCTTCCTTCTATATCTTGCAACACATGAAGACAAGTGCAGGTGCCTGATGTTGTCAATACAATTTCACTAGGATTTGATATGTTAATCATGATTTATGCCATATAAATAAGAAAAAGACTATTTGAGATGGACATAGGGAAAAAGCCTTCCAAAGTTTTTAAAGCTCCAAGTAATAAGAAGAGCTCTAGTTCCTTCACCCACAAGAAGTTTTGCATCCAGTAGAACAAACAGGAGGAACTAAGAAAAGGGACTAAATAACTAGAGTTTATAATGCTGATGCCTGCTGGTATAATTGAAAAGATTTCCTATTGTACAACATACCAAGAAAAAGACGATTCGTCCAGGAAGATAGCCACTGATGTTGTTAACCTGAATCAAGTTAAAACATATAAATTCTTAGAGCAAACTGTAAAGCAATTAAATTATCCTAGGGAGTTCAAAAAGAGAGGGATAAACAGAAAACAATAAAGATTCAGGAAAGAAGAAATAATAGAGGCTTTAAGAACAAAAATTCTACTCCTAATGACAACCTACTGCATATATTAACAATGCAAACAAGACAGAACCAAATACACCAAAATACTTTCAACTAAATCTACAACAAGACAAGGACAAAATACACCATTTTATGCCCACAGTAAACATTGATCCCACAGGCATATGCATGAAGGACAAAAGCCATATAAATGAAGAAAAAGAAGAATTAAACTTAACTTGTATTTGTCCACCATGCCCACTAACCATATCAATCATTTTAATATAAGACCCTTCTTCAACTGGTTCATACACCTAGAAACAAGCATTATTGCGCACCTTAGTACAATATTGAGCATCCAAAAGCACAAATGCTTACCAAGAACAACTACTAAACAATTTCAGGACATACCTTTCCATAATTAGCTAATCGATTTCTAAAGTCTCGTAATCCAGCTTCAAAATCTGGCCTGCAAAAGCAGATTGATAACTAAGTACAGAAATTTTCATCTGACCAGAAGCAAAAGGTTATTAAGAAGAGCCTTACTCTTCTGCATAGTCAGGACTTTGTTGAATTTTAAGGCGGATATTTCTTTCAATAATCCGTTCATCATTGCATATTGTTTCTAGAAAAATAATCTACAAACAAAAGCAAATAAAAATGTATTAGAAAATCAAAACTAGAGGCATCATTTTCTGGATGAATCTTCATACAGTCAACTGATACCAAGACATCACATGTACATCTGTCAATCATTCTTCCAACAAAGAAAATGTAAAACAGCATATGGAGGATCATAAATCACAAACAATATAGACTCCCCTGTTAGGCAGTGTATGCAGTTCTAACCAACCTAATTACAAAGCATTAATTATTCAGTGTCCCAAATATTTGTGCCAAGCCACATGAATACATCAAGGAGTATATTTCCTAAATAACCTAAAAAAGTAATGAATCCTGCTCTCTGAGTATATTAGCCTTTTCTTTTCATCTGCAACATAGCATATATGCTTCACCTAATAACCATAACAGTTCAACTGGGGATATGCTTAGCTGGTTCCTCATTCAGCAATCACAGTACCTTACATTTTCCTTCAGCCATTTTCATCAGCATATTCCGTCTGTTCCTGCTACTATTAGTTGCATCGAATATTCCAACCTACAATTTAAAGGGATTTAATAAAGAAAATTAGTCAGCAGACAAGGGTGAATACAATCGTCTCACATCAAAGAACTTACCTGACCACCTTCTTGCATCCAGGTTGTCATATCATCCATTGCCAGGGCTGCTACCTAGTAGCATGTGATATATTAAAACTATGTACAAAGAAGAAGGTTAATATGGGGTTACCATTAACCAATCGTCCAAATAAAAACCAATTCATTAGCAAAAGCATCTTTGTCAATTGCAATTCCACACTTGAAGGAATGAAAAACCAGTATTGAATAGGTATTGAAATTAAATCATGTTGCCTACAATGATATAGATCCAGAAATTGCTTTGTATCACATAACTGCTTGAACATCACCTCTAACATTTTATGGGTCTCTTCTTCGTGATTTTTATTCTTGTGGTATCAGCCTGCATTTATTTCATTTAAGTAACTTGAAGATGAGCTAGGAGTTTTTATTAGATTCAGATATAAAGAAAAAACATCTTGAGAGTTTACTTAGATGCCGTAGAATGCTTGTTAAAAAAGTTTATTGACCAATATTACTTTTGACAACAAAATGAAATCCCAAATCTATAATCTTTTAAGGAACATTCATAATCAAAATTGAATTCTTTAACACTGTAATACATACCATAACATCAAAAACTCAATTGCCTCCCAAACTAAAACAGAAGATGAGGGATTTCTAAATTCAGCAACACTTAAGAAATTAAATATGTGTTTAGTTTAGTCCATATAAAGAACTAATTAAACCACCAACATAAATGCCATTAATTTGAGCACTTAAAAAAAAAAACTCAATTTTAAAAGTCAAATAAAAAACAAGACTCTTCTGTGAACACTCACCTCATTACGTGCCTCCATGCCTTCAGGATTGTCAGCTCGGAAAAAGTCAGCAGTCTATAAAAGAATGCATCACCTATCAACAATCACTCCAGAAAAATAACAAATAGCATGTGCAATATTCCAATTTAATCATGAATTTATTAGAAAAAGCCAGTGACAGATAGTAAGTGTTTATCAGTTGAGTTCGTTAAACTTCAATACTCCCAGTTGATAAACTTAAACAAGGATGCTCAGATTTACCTGGTTTGTACCATGTTTGAGGCGCCGATACTGTTATGGACAAAAAAAATCAAGTTACTCTTCTTTCATTTAAAACAAGTTAGAGAGCAAGGAGAGCATTCAAGGTAAAGTGTAATAACCTTGCCAACATTAAAATGCTTAGTATCATGTCCCAACCAGCGAAGATATCTTGTAAGTTTAGCAGCAGTGAAGGTCTTTCCTCGAGCAGGCAACCCAACCTGAAAGTCAAGCAACTAATTAGAACCACCTAATATCAACAACTTGAATCCATTCCTTCTTTCAAGGAATTGGTAATTTACACGTGTCATATGGAGCTACTTCTTGAATATGACAATGGCCAAAATTTTTTAAGTCTAGATCTTACAATTTAACAACTAAATTATAGTCTAGTAGAAGAAGGATGATTAAATCTAAACTGCTGACCAATCACTTATGCAGAAGAATACCAGGACAATTGCTAGATGTCTATCCTCCTTTGGTCCAAGCATCTGATCAGCTACAGCTGCAGCTGCAACAGCTCCAGCAGCTGCTGGCATCGAATTCTAAAAATCAAAGAAAACGAAACAAATATAAGAATAACACCAGCTGAGAGAGCCAATCATACTTTACTTAAAAAATGAAATGCATTTTCATACAAACCTTGGTTTCAGTGTCCAATTTAAGATCAAAACTAAAAGTAGTTGCACTAGCAGATTTGACCAGCCTGGGAGATCCAACACCCCTATCCACAAAGAGCCCCCTGTGACTATCTTGCTTTTGCAAAGGTGAAAAGGTCCCCACAGATTTTGATTCAACCATCCCAAATCCTGAATATACCTTAGAAGGATCTGGTATGACAACCTCCATCTCCTATGAAAAAGTAAGTACATTACATTAGATGCAGACTACTAAAAAGTAATGGAACAAGGTAACTTTTGAAAGTATTTCTCTACCTAGTGTGGCATCTATTTTTGCTTCCTAATCAACGGATGCATTTAACTCAATTATGCTTGCCATTACCTTTATAATTAAGATTCAGGTGCATTAAGAAATACGTAGAGAGTACACAGTGTGGAATAGCAGAAAATTGTGTATTAATATCCTTAAACTGATAACGTGTAAATAATCCTTTTCCAGGCCAATAACTCAGTCTAGTTTACACATTTGCAGGGTGGGTTACCGAGATAAACCTTTATAGTTGCAGGTCGATCAACAGAAACCCCAGTAAGGGATAGCGATCGTGGATTTTCAGCCAAGTTGGCTGCATAAACCAGACCTGAGTTCGCAGAAGTGGATGGAGCAGGCACAACGTAATGCTCAAGGTCAAGCTCCAAACTAGCTGCAGAGCCATTCTGCACAGTAAAACATATAATTTTTATGTCCAAGTATATTAACAGATATAATGCTCAAGATTCAAGGTAAAGCTCCAATTTAGCTGAAGATCTATTCAGTGCAATAAACACAGTATCTTTTATGTCCAAATACAATAAAAACCATATTGAAGTTTGGAACAATGATTTATAATAAATAATTTACACAGAAGACCATCTTTTCAATAGATATCTGTAGATTGAAAATTGGCCATTTGTCTCTTAAAATTAAAAGTTAAAGAAAAAAGGGGGCAACTAGCTTATACCTCACGACCTGACTCTGGCACTGCATCAATGCTAACATCAGGAATTCCACGAACAGTCGAAGGCCGGAGATTGTCTTGATAAGCTCTCCAACTAGCTGCAAGATCAAAGGGTGAAACCCTGTCTGCTTTAATGAACACCCGATACTCAAGAACCTCCTCATTATCTAGCTTAAATAGTGCCAGCCTTGCATCTCCTTGCAAAGTACCCCTAGTGAGAAGCCGGTTCGGACCCTCCTCAACAACACAAGGCATGTAGCCATACTTAGGCTTCAACAGGAACTTGAAATCCAGAGTTTCTACATTTAAACACATAAAACATACAAACAAATTTAAACTCCGACAAACTAAAAGTTGCATAAATCATTGCCAATAAGATGCTAAGATACTCTTTAACTTCTACTTTTGAATCCAACAGAAAGCAAAAGAAAAAAAAAATGTACCCAAAAAGTGAACCAAACAGAATCTATAAATTTTTGGTCAGAAACCAAAACATCTATTTCACCGACCCTAATATCTACCTTTAGAAACCAAATTCAGGAGAAAAGTAAAGAAGGCATACTAAACGGTATTGCATTCAACAATGCAAGGTATTATTCAACCTTAGTCAAAAATTATAAGTGAACCTCTTCTCAAATGATAAGTTAAACGATGCTTTTATTCTCCCTAACGCTCATATTCTACCAGTTTTCTCAGCAAGCAAAGAAAACTTAACCAATATGGAAACCAAAAAGAATAGCCAAACTAGCACACTTTACCGTGATTAGGAGGAACAACGAAACTCAATTCCCACATTGAAGCCGATTCGCGCTCCATTGAAAGCTATAAACAGTCAAAAACAAAATTAGAAACTAAAGAAAGAAAACAATGACATCAACAAATTAATTCAAAATAAAGATTAAAAGATGAAAAAAAAAGAAGAGATTAAATACAGCTTTAGAGGAATCCCAAGAGCCAACAAGAGGAACGGAGCCATAAACATGAGGAATAAGGTCTCCTTTCTTCTTGTAGTTCTCCATCTTCAACGATACGTAAAGTTGACCGCCGGCTTGGTCAAGGCTCTCCTCTCTTTCTTCCCCTCCATGCGACCCTCCCTCTGCGTTTCTCGAAGCTCCCGTCCCCATCTTCCACCTTTCGCCTTATTTTTCTTCTCTAAAAACAAAATTTAACAACCAAATACTAATTCGTAAATAGCAGATTGCCAGTGCTTCAGAAGCTTGGTTCAACTGCTTCCATGGCGATTCTTGGCGTGAGTTAAACAGTGAACGGAAGCATATTCTTCGTTTTATATTCTCTCTATTTTGTTTGGATGGATAAGAATTCGAGAGATGTAAGCTGAACGAAAAAGAGAGACGCGAATTTCTGTTTGTCTCCATTTGCACCTCTTTTTCCCATTTTTTTTAATACTTATTTTTAAATTAGATAAAAAGGGCATATCACGGCCCATTGTCGCCCATCACTTTTTTCTTTTACTGACTCGATATGAAATTAAAATATATTATTTATTTATTTTAAAATGTGTAATATAATATTTTCCTCTTTGGACATTGACTTCTATTCGGCCACGTCTTCATCCTCCCTGAAAACTTATAATCTTAAATTGGTTAATTTTGTTAGCAAAAATATTAAAATCGAAACCAACTTAATTAATCACGCTTACTTCCACATAGATGGAAAAACTGAATAAATCAAATTATTTTAATTGAATTTATTTTATTAATTTGATTTTAATCGAAAAGTGCTTGTCTTTAACTACTAGTAATATTTATTTGATTACTTCCTTCTAAAATATCCAATTAATGTGACATGGCAGGTACATTTATTTACTATTAATATTTATCTGACTTTTATGCTACACATTATTATTTCAACGGGGAGCATTCCAAATGCTATTCAAAACTTTATAGTAGGATGTATGAAAATTACATACAAACACACTAAAGTCATATTGTTAGTTCAACAACTACCTTCGCAATGGGGAAAACAAATTAAAAAGTCCTACACGTATTGCTTTTGATGGAAATATTTAAGTGCAATTTAAAATAATTTAACGTAACATTAGATTTCTCGATTAATGTTATTTAGTTGTAATTATATCATATTTAAATAAAATATTAAAATTTGTGTGAATAAATATAAATATAACATAATTAATTAAATAAATTAAATTTTTAAACTCGTATATATATATTTATTACATGTCTTACATGATAAATTCATTGAAACATAATTAATCTATAAACACATTGAATTGATTATATTATATGAATTGACACATTTCACTTGTTTAATCGATATAACATAATAACTTGATTAATTGAATTAATTAAATATGTTATAAATTAATTTATTTAAAACATGTAATTATCATGTTTTAGATATGTTTGTCCAGATCTATATTGACATATTGAAGACACGAATTAAATTGTAAAAAGGAATTAATTACATGAAATAGAAAAATAAAAATAAAAAGGAATTCGGGTTACAATGAAGCCACCTGACTCCAAACCCGTACCCGTTTCGATTTGGGGTTCATGCATAAATACCACCGATCAGCTCTGCTCTGCCGTCTAGTAGAGTAACAGGATTTTACTCGCAGCGACGCCATGAGAGCCAAGGTAAACTCTGCTCTATTTAACATCCATTTGATTTCCTTTTTTTTTTTTTCTCTGTTTCGATCTTTCATTCAAAATGAAATCGGAAAATCTAAGAATCGTTGGTGAATTCGTTGCTTTCAGTGGAAGAAGAAGCGGATGAGGAGGTTGAAAAGAAAGCGCAGGAAGATGAGGCAGAGATCTAAGTAGCTGCTGTTGCTGCTCACTCCAAGACCATTCTCCAATCTTTTTCTTTAGCTTTTGATTGTAACCCATCTTTTATTTTTGTCGACTTTTTCTTAGCATCGTATTCCGAGTTGTAATCGTACCTTTTTCTGGGTACATTTTGCTTAATTTCAATGGACTTATCTTGAGTTGCTCTGTTTTTCTGAATTTCTAATTATTATATATCTATCGAACTTGAAATCAAATTGTATTTATATGAAGAATTCAGCTTTGCAAATACTGAATAACAGTAGCAATATTTTTCCTAAACAAAACGTAGCCTTTTAGCAAACCGGTGAACAGTTATTGTTTATGATTCGCCATGCTGCTGCTGATCTTCTTTAAATCTTCGAATGCTCGAACGGTCTCTGCATCAAAACCACCTGCAAACTGAATCTTAAAATGGTTGGTAAAGGATTCCAAAAACCCGTTTTAAAGAAAAAGATGAAGGTATTTTAAGTTTCTTCAGCGATTGAAGGGGGTACCTACCTGGTGAACTCTGTACGCAAATCGAACTCCTAGAAGCAGGAGAGTGTTTCCTTGTGAGGATTCGTTCGATTGCAGCTCTTTGGCTGTTCTTTTCATGTACTCCCTGGCTAGCCGCAATGAGCTGAATTTCAACTGCAACATTTGCAATGGAAATTTATCGTTATCTATGATTTAATTCAACAATGCTTGCATGATATATTTAATATGCAAAAAAGTGTGCTTAAGAATGATGAATTTTCCTAGTTTTGGTACCTAGGAGGCTTTATTAGCAAGGTTACTTTCATTAATTAGACAATCCCTTGAAATGCACTTCAAGGTTGAATAAGAACATAGATGTGGACAATGGGAAAGTGTTCTTTTTTTCCTTCTTAATTCAATTTTCTGTGTCGAACCACCATGTTTTGTTTTACCTACCTGACCAATCAGTCCTGTATCCAACATCCATTCCCACGGGATCTGGAAATCTCTGTATCTCTTGCTGGTGTTTTCCCTAATCCTTTCTGTATTGTTTACACTCTGCTCCAACCTGTAAATTTGATTTTTCATCATGCAGTTAATATATACTATTGATTGAAAATAGCAAGTTATAGTAATTCAGTTTATACATGCTCGCCTGTCTTGCAATGCTTGCATCCTTCGAAGCTCTGAATTAAAAGACTCTCTGGGATTGACCTCAAACGATGAGACTTCAGCTTCAAGGTTCTTTAGGTCTCGGTAGCTAAAAGCAGCCTCCCTCAGAGCATCTGCTTTTCGTTCTGGCCATTGTGGGAAATGCTTCAAAACTGCCCTTTCATCAACCAAGGAAGATAGCTCCTGATCTAACCATTTCACAAATACCTCTACATCTGATATATCTTTGAAGGCTGCAGATTGCACCTCTGAGATTAAGAAATTTATAAACTCCTTCTGTTTTTCTACGTCGGATTTTATCTGTTCATTAAATAGGCATATTATTACACACAAAAAAAAAAATGTTGGTTTCAGGAATCTGAATGATAAAGTTATAACTTAACTGTACTTACAGCTGAAACATATGTTGAGCGGTTCTCAATTTCCCCTATCATGTTCCTAGTAAATGCCAGCACCGGAGTTGCTGCAGCATTGGTCTTGTTTTCCATGTTGGTATCTTTCCTTGTAAGTGAACGATAAAGCTCCACAACTTCTGGTACACGGCGCACTGATCTAGAGCAAGCTAAAAGCTTCGATGGCAATGGTGGCGGTGGTGGTGCTGGTACTGATGGCGCCTTAACTTTGTTCTCACTCACTTCCTTTGGAGAAGGGGAGATAAAAGAATTAGACCGTGGCGGTGGCTTTGGTACTTTTGATTGCCTTTCTTTTCTCACAGCTAATTCCTGGAAACTTGGCCTTGGATATACATTTTCTGCTTCAAGACCCAGTTCCGGAACTTTCAGGAAATCTGATGCGTCTGCATTAGAATTGTCGATGGAGTTATGCAACTTCTTCCAGAGCATAGATTTTCTCTCATTGTCATGAGCCTTGAGGGAACTGATTTGTGCTTTAAGACGAGCTACCTCCTGTTTCAGTTCCTGGTTCTCTTTCTCCAGGGAACCATTTCTACCCAAAGCAGCCTCGAGTTCTTTCTTGAGCCGGGTGATTTGACAGAGTTCTGATTCATCATATTCAAGTGGCATTTTCCTCCCTCTTTTTTTCCGCTTTCATTCAAAAGGACGACAGGAAGAGCTTAAGCATATTGAAATTGCTGAATCTCTCTCCTTTTATTCGTGCTCTTTTCCTTTGAAGCAAGCTATGCTTACCTAAGCCTGAGGACTGATACTTCACAGAATGCCCCTTCCTATGCTAATATTTACAATTTGAAGCAAGCAAAAAGCAGAATTCTAGCCAGGGTTGTTTTGGGGATTTGCTAACTCTTTTAGTCAGCTATGGACATTTATTCTCTTCACTTTTATATGACTGTTGGCTGAGAGATTTTCTGGAGCTTGCTGGCACTAAACTCTCTACTGCAATGTAGTTGTCCTTGGCAAGCCATGTTAGGTGAGCCATTAAATTCTGGTCAGATTTACCTTAACATTCCTCTTTTCTTTTTTGTTTAATTAACTTAACATTCCTGCAGATTATATTGCAAGAGTTCCTCCAATCCTGGTAGAATTCTAAGGCTTTCAGCAGGAATTTATTAGGTAAGCAGATTTTTAGGCAAAACAGCTATTCCCATGTGTTAAACTTGATCGCCTGGAAATATATGGCCCAAAATTAGGAGTTGAGACATGACTGATTGCAAGTTGCCAACTGCCCCTTTTTTATGGCTCTTTCCCTTCCAACCCCTTTGCCATCCAAGTGTTAGCCTCCCACTGGGAATGCTGGAATCATTGGGTCAATATGTGGTGCCCCTATATGCCATCGATCTCTTTATACTGTTTGTAGAGTTCCTTGTTACACTGACTTGCATTTTTGCTGGAGTTTGCTTGTGAATCAAGGGTAAGAAAAAAAAAGAAAGCAGGGTGAATGAAGGACGGTGAAGGATGCTGACAGTGCAAAAATTAAAGAAAAAGAAAAAGCACTGATTATTACTGCTTACCAGAATAAGATCTCCAGTTTTACTTTTATTCTCTCTTCTTTTGTCTATCTTTCTTTATTTATATATATATATTTATTTATTTATTTATTTTTCCTTTACTTAAATCTATGCACATGCTTCTGTATTGCTTTTAGAAAAAGTTGTGGCTATGAGGATTTATTCCCAGACATTCTTAATTTCCAATGCTGGAATGAAGTTCCTATTGTTACGTCAGTACGGAAAAAAGGTAATTACTCCAATTAATTACCAATATAATGACTAATTATTCAGGTGAGGAAAGAGAATATCTGAAATGGCAAAGTTTTGTTTTCAGCGGGTGGTTGAACCAGATTTATAGAATCACCGGATGTTATAATTTCAGTAAAGAACATTAGAGCCAATTAGGCTCAGGTTGCTCCTTATTCATCTCTTTATTCTTCTGCAAGCTTTTTACAGACTTGGAAGTTGGCTGTAGAACTTGAAAGTTTCTAGTAGGCTGTAGCTGGCACCAAGACTTCATAGGGGTCTACTTCAAAGATAACCGGTGAACTTTAATTGCTGGGGGCGGGGGACCCCAATTTCGACACGGTCCATGCTTCATGGCCATCTTTAGGTAATAAATATATTCCCTGGTAGCCAGGGAAGCTTGCTAAACTCAGAGAGAGGGAAGAAAATGCAGAAAAAAGGAGTGGCGTATACCCGGAGCATGGGGAATATGAGACTTGAGACCATTCATTGAGACAGTTTGCTACATGCAACTATAGGGCGATGGTGAAATCCCAAATATCAATGATTATGTGTAGAAGCAAGCCTACCCCATGAGCCAATCATAATATAGAATCCATACTGAGTTTAATTTGACTAGAACAACTTAGCTGGCTGCGAGATCAAGAATTTCTTAACTGGAATTGTAGAAATACTTGCATCATACACCAGATATGTCATACTATTCCTTCAGTTCACAATTTTCCCTGGAATGCCCAAGTATCTTTAGACGCTTGATATTCAAGGAATTTCTTTCTTGCTTTTTTATTACTAATGAAGATTTCTTACTTTAATTGCAAGACTTAAACCAAAACCAGGGCAGCATCAATCAGTCATTATTAATGGTAATTTAATTAATCCGTTTCCAGTGGACTATGTTTTTCACAACAGTTCCAAGGCACACTGAAAAAACATGAAGAAGCTTCGGATTCTTGCATAAATATTAGCAAAAAGCAGATAGGACATCAAAATCCCGCTTTGAACATTCTTGCAATGCACTTAATAAATAGAATAAATTCTAAATTCTGCAAGGTGCTCTTTATCAAAAATCCTGATCAGCTTCTCTATTGAGGATTTGGGGGGCGGCTATTTGCAGCTGAGACCCTGGATCCCCATTCAAGCAGCTCTTTGCTCGTATCATCCTTGTGAACAATGACTTCTATAAAGCACAAGCAATCTTTCTTCTCATCTGTGGCTTTCTCAATTGCTTCGATGAGCTCCTCTTCACAGTGAACCTGGAAAGACAGAAGAAAAAAAAGTCCTGACAATTAGTTTCGACATGCAGCAAACAAACATGTATGTGACTGATTGAACATATCTAACCTTTGCTGTCCAGCAGTTTCCTTCACCATTGTGAATAGCATCAACTAATCCAGTGTAGTTCCAATTCTTGATAACATTGTAAGGTCCATCATGGATCTCAACTTCAATGGTGTAGCCACCATTGTTGATTAGGAATATGATACTCTTTTGTTCACATCGTAGCATGGTTGATATATCTTGTGCAGTCACCTGCCAAGAACAATGTTAACATTGACATTGGAAATCAACATTACAGGGCCTTTGTGTATAGGAAAAAAAGTGTTGGAAATGCAGAAAACTAGTTTCATGCTTGATTACAGTAGACAGCCAAAGTATCCACACTAACCTGGAAGCTTCCATCGCCAATGCAAGCTATCACACGCTTGTCTGGTACAGACTGTGCATATCCAAGAGTTGCCCCAACAGACCACCCAATTGAACCATACTGCATCTGAAATTCGTACCTGGAACACCAACTTTAGTTCTCTTAATTATATTTGTTAAACAAGCATCAAAAACTAAGCAGCTAGAGCATTTCTTCCTTTGTACTCACCCACATCCTTCTGGCAGTTTCAGCTTCTGGCAGTTAAACCAGGAATCTCCCGTCTCAGCAATCACAGCTGTGTTACTTGAAAGCATCTTTGTTATATGGTGAAAGAGGATATTGACCCTCAAAGGATCTTGAGGGTCACATTTGAGAGGAACACCGTCTGGGATGAATATACGATGATAGTTCTCATAAGCAGTTGTGTTGCATTTAAGCCTTTTTGCTAGTGCTTGGAGAAAGTCCTTCATTAGGACACACCCGAAAGCTGGTCCATTAGCAATAACTACACGATCAGGCTGCACAATGATGGCCTTCTCCCTCTTAAGGAGGAGGGAGTACCCAACAGAACTGTAGTCGTTAAAGATTGGCCCGGCAAATAAGTAAGCATCAGCAGATTCCACAATTTCAGCGCAGAAAGCTGTGCCTACAGCACCCCAGTAAGTTCCAATAAAGTGAGGGTAGTGTTCTGGCACTAATCCTTTGCTGATGGCATCACAGCAACTGGATATCCACAAGCATCAGCCAGTTCAACAAAGGCCTTACAGGCCTTCGCTACTCGGATTTTGGCCCTGCTACCATGACTGGCTTCACTGCCTTATTCAAAAAGGCAGCAGTTGCCTCCACGGCAGCTTCTAGACCCATCTGATTGCTCAACCTGCAACAACAATTCAAACGCTTTTATAGAATGTCTAAAATGCGGACAGTTGGAAATCAGAAACCATTTCATTGGCTTCAAGAAGTAAAAATAAAAACTCTACCTAGGTGATAGAGAAAATGGAATGGGGTCTCTAATGAAAGTTGCATGAGGAATTGCAGCCAAATTACAACTTATGCTGATGTATACAGGCTTACTCTCCTTCAGAGCAGTAGAAATAGCTCTATCAATCTGTTCATGCGCATCTTCCAAGTTATTGACCACAGCCTAGAATTAAACCGAAAACCAACATGATCAGATCATTACAGGAAAGCCATTTAGCTTGGGCCAAACTAGAAAAAAGGCAATATCCGATTTAACTACATAACAACTTAATTATCAATGGTGCCATCTGACCAGAAAAGAATATGAATTGATCCGGGATAACATATGAGTAAATGTTTTAAAAATAAAACTTCTGAAAATCTGGAACAAATTCAAGAATGTCACATACCTGATAGCAAGTGACAGTTTGGAAGCACCTTAGCTCTTGGCTGAAATCTGGTAAACCGATGGTATGATGGAGGATCCTGTTAGTCCCATAATCATTTGTGTTGGGTCCTCCAACAATGCAAATAACAGGAAGATTCTCGCTGTAAGCACCGGCAATGGCGTTGATTATGCTGAGGCCCCCAACAGTAAACGTGACAACACATGCACCAACCCCACGAGCCCTGGCGTATCCATCAGCAGCATAGCCAGCATTGAGCTCATTGCAGCACCCAATGTTTTTGAGCCCTGGCTCGGCAATAAGGTGATCAAGAAGAGTCAGGTTAAAGTCACCAGGCACAGAAAAGACATCTTTAACTCCTATTTCGACAAGCCGGCGAGCCAGGTGGCGCCCCAGGGTGGCATCCGAGGAGACAGAGGGAGGAGCATGGGAGTCTTGGATTGAAGCTGAACCATTTTGGGGTGGGCAGCCTAGTATGCTGCTTGCAGGTTTGCATGAATCCAGCTGAGAACCAATGTTGGTATCCATGTCGGATCAACAAAACAAACAAGAAAAAATGTTAAAACAGATTTTGGAGATGTTCACGTGGGGTTTGCTTGATCAAGAGATTTGACAGAAAACCAAGAGAAACCACAAAAAAATAAAGTAGAGCAGAGTAGAGAAAGAAAATGAGAAGTAACCAAAGAAAAATTAGGAAAAGAGAATGATCTGGAGAGGAACACAACCACACTACTTTTTCATTCTGTATATATGATGACAACCACCTAGTGCCGTGAATATCGGCCTTAAGAAATGAGAACTTAAGAGAGAGAAAAAGTTTGTTGAGCTGAGCTGTACTGGGCAGAAATTCCAGAACTGCCTAACAACAGTTTCTTTGCTCTAATGGGTAAAAACGAGAAGAAAAAAAAACA